ACTTGCATCCATCTTATTTTTTTTAAATGGACAGTACCTTGGACAGGATTTGTCAGATTTCAAATTTGATACAAACATTATACATGTTGAGATACATGTCCATGATGATTTGTTTCGTGTCTCTGTAAATGGGTCTGGACAAATGAAATTCAGTTTGGATACAAAAAATGCACAACTAGACCAGCCAATTATTCACTCTAAATTATTAACTATGTTGTTGTTGGTGCATATTATTTTATTTTTGGCATGAATAACATTTCCTCTAAATCCAACAAGGACTATGTCTTTAACAATGACTTGTCAATTAAAACTTACATTTTCATATTTTTTAAAAACATCAATTTTATATCGGCCCTAATTTTATCTCCATGAAACATATTTTGAATGACACCAGTTCAAATGAAAATGTATGAAAAATGTTCAGGTTAACTTATTTTCCTTAATTTTGACCAAAAATGTTTTTTTTAGCTAAATTTCAAGTCAATTTCATGAATTACAAAAATTAACTGTTTTTTTTGATGAGCTGCTATAGCCAGCATTCTAAATATATAAACATAGCATTCTTAAATGTCATCTAATAGTTTATTCGAAAAGTGTGGTTTAAAATTCAAACATTTTATACTCTCTGTAAAATTGGAAAGGTTTGGAAAATAATATACTATAAGGATGAAACACTGAGTTGATGATTGTTTTCTAAATGTCAGGTGTTACTGTACTCAACATGTGGTCTAGAAATCTACTGTACTCAACATGTGGTCTAGAAATCTATTGAAGAAAAGACAAAGGTTATTTATAAACCCCTTACTTACACATGGTAAATTATCAACACTGGCACTTTACTTGGTATCTTAGCAACCAGGATTGGAATATTTCGTCTATAGTTCACATGTTAAAATATAGACAACACAACTAATGTCAAGAAGCAATTTTTATTTCTTGAAACAAACACCATTGAATGCATGGATCAGGTGTTAAAATGTGCTTACCTCTGGCAATGGAAATTACAGAAATATAAAATGAGAAAATAAATGTTTACCAATATACAAAAGAAAACACTACAAAAAACAACAAGTCATTACGTGCTCAACAATAAGATAGCAAAGAAAAACAGTGATCACAAGTGAAGGTCAAGAAACTTAAGGTGAATGTGCATGTGCATGTGCACTTGGGAAAAATATTTAAAAGAGAATGAAAGCATGTTTAGAGAAATGATGAATTGTTGGCGATTTGTTTTTGTCATCATATCAAGTCATTACATATTATCATGTATTGTATAAAGCTTAGTTTTTCTGGTGACACAGATGCATATCTTGGTATTCTATTGAGGTTCTTATAAGAATTAAACAGAAAAGGAACTGGTATGAACACCATAAAATCAAAATGGT